GCCGTGCCAGGTGCAGGGTCTGCTAGCTGGGTGCTGGCAGGCTTGCACCTGGCACGGGCACCGTAGCCAGCCCGTGCCCCTTTAAGGGGTCCGGGGCCGGGAGGGGGGCATAGAGTTTCCCTGGTGTTGGCCAGAGAGGCCACCAGGGAAACCTGGGGAGGGCTAGCCTCCCACTAGTTCGAATTAAGGGGCTACACACCCCTTAATTCGAACTAGTAAGTTCGAACTAGGCTTAATCCTCGTAAAATGAGGTTTTCCTAGTTCGAACTAAGCGCTCCACTAGTTCGATTTAAATTTGAACTAGCAGAGCGCTAGTGTAGCGCCTATGAATGTTAGTTCGAACTAACGTCCGTTAGTTCGAACTAACATTGTAGTGTAGACATACCCTGAGGGATAGTTTTCAATTTCATAAAAAGCTGTTACAAAGAAGAGGGTAAAAAACTGTTCTCCTGCTGAGGATAGAATGAAAAGCACTGGGCTTAAATTGCAGCAAGGGTGATTTAGGCAGGACATTAGGAAAAAACTTTCTAAAACTCTTAGGATATAATTAAGCACCAGAATAATTTTCTCAGAGAGGTTGTGGAATCTCCATCACTGGAGATTTTTAAGAGCAAGTTAGATAAACATATGTCAGGGATGGCCTAGATAATACTGAGTGCAAGGGACTAGACCTAAAGGCTTCTCAAGGTCCCGTCCAGTACTACAATTCTATGATTTTAAACCATCTGCGATCACTTTTGTTGCCCACTTCTTCACTCAGTCTATTGTTACTACAAAGAGGATTGGTGATAACATGCAGCTTTATCTAACTCTATTCACAATCTCAAACCATTCACACAGGCCTATATCCAATTTTACTGTGCACCTACTTCTATCATATCATCTCCTTATTTTGATGAGGCTGTCTGATATTCCATATATTCTATAATATCCCACAAGTCTCTGTGGACAATATTGAATGATTTCTTAAAGTCATTAAGATGGGATTTTGCAAAGCAGTAACTTGCCTGGATCCAGCTCCCAAGGCTCATGGCTCCCCCAGCATTGGGGAGCCCACACTGGTACTCCAGCCCCTCTGTTACCCCACCAGGGAGCTGGAGCACACAAAATCTACTAGGCTGAGCCCTTCTAAGATCTGGTATGTGAGGGGAATATGGGGAGTGTCTCCTTCTCAATCATGGGCCACATCAGTGAGGGTTTTGTTTTGTTTTTTTGCTTCTCACTTGTATGTGACCCCCAACTGTTTCTGCTGTGCGTGGGCAGCCCCCAACTAAAAAAAAAAATTCCCCACCCCGATAGACAGCATACATATTTTCTTTTCTTTTAATATTATTTCCCAATTTCATTATAGCACTTACTGGACAGTAATTACCAGGATCTGTTATTTGAAGATCAGTACCACACTTGCTTATTTTCAGTTTTCTAGTATCCCATATCTCCCTGATTTTTGCAAACTGTAAAGAGCTATAAACTGTTAATTAGCTTAGCAGCACACTTAAGACCCTAAAATTTTATTGTTTAGATGTACTCATTTGCATATATTCATGTTTTCTTCAATCTGCTTTTTAGTCAAACAGCTGTTTTCACAAGGTCTCCATTTTTTCATAATTGTCAGTCATTATTTTTGTTAAGACTGATATTTTTTTTCTTTCAGAAAGCAACTCTATTACTCAGCCATTTTAAAATCATACTTAACTTCATCTCCTTCCTTGTTTGCTAATGGGTCTATTTTCTCTCCAGTATTTCTTTTCCACCGATAATCTTGTAAAAGCCTCTAATTTTTGTTACCCCCTTTAGCTAGCATTAACCCATTCTGTGTGGGTGGAGGGGAGGGGTATTCATAACAATATAATACTTAGCATTTACATGGCATTTTATATCTTCAAAATGTTTTACAGACCTTAACTAATTAACTCTGAAAACATGCCAATAAGGTAGA